AATTTACCGAATCTGTTGAAATCGTTGTTTCTGGACGTTAGTGGGTGTGAGAAACTAGTTGAGGTTCAGGGACTGTTCAGATTAGAACCCATAAGGAAGTTTGGTGCAGAAAGAGTCATCAATGAACTAGGCATTCTCAACCTGGATATAATCGAGAACACTCCAGTGGAACTGTTCAACAAACTAACAAAWACAAGGCAGAAAGATGTTGTCCAGGTGACCTCTATATCTCCAACTCTCCCCTTCCTCCCACTACAACAAAACTCGGTCTTAATGGAATTTTAAGTTTTATAGGTATAATAAGTTGTTAGGACGAACAAATTCTATCGATCAACTTAACATGCACATAAAAAGTAAATCGACATATTAACATTTTTATATAATACTTTTGAAAAGTATCTTATTAACCTTTTATATCGCCAATACACAAATCTCAAAGAAAGGAAAGTAGGAGTATAGGGTTTTTGGAAGACGTCTCCCTTCTCTATTATTCTAATCTAACAATCAACTTCGTAGATAGAACTTATTACTATTAGGTCGTCTAACTTTGTTTTATAAACTTATATGTTGTAACRCCGTTAGATAAGACTTTAGTATTTGGTCGTATAAACTTAAAATCCATTGTACTATAGTAAAACGCATATGCATCCTAAAGGACCCATTTCTTTTCGGTACATATATATATATATATATATAACCATATCTTTGGAACAGGGACTATTTGAATTTGGTATATTCAGCTCCTATGTTTCTGGGAATGAAATTCCAGCTTGGTGCAGCAGTAAGAGCATGGGAAACTCAATATCTTGGGTACTGCCTTCAAATCCCAAGAACAGCCTRCAAGGTCTGAACATCTGCCTTACTTATGTAAGAAGCAATGCAAGAAGATTTCGATTTTGTATTAACCAAGATTGGTGTACATATTACATCAAGATCCATAACAAGACTAAGGACCTGAAATGGGTATACAGTCCAACATTTGTTGGCATTCCAGATGATGGAGAAGATATAACACTGATAAGCCATTGGAAGTTTGGGAAGGAAGTAGAAAATGGTGATGATGTTACTGTTTCCATAGTTGGCATGAGTCCTGCTTTTCTGATGAAAGGTTTTGACATTGATGTTATGTATGTACAAGAAGGGAAGATTACACATGAGATTGAGRCCACAACTGGCTTAATATCTGCATATCAACTGAAGCCACATGCCTACTTCTTCTCCAACGCTGAATATTTGATGCTGAGAGAATCTGATAGCAGTACTGGAGACTGGAGTAGAATTTTATATGAAAACTTATTCGAGGGATCTTCGTTAGGAACAGGTGTCTATCWATTTCTTCCCTTTAATTGGTATATATATTTTTATTTGGTTTGACGGAAATGTAGATGTTATTAAGTTAGGAGTATGTGAGTAAGTGGTTTTGGTGATTTTGTAGGGTTTACATATGAAGGAAGAGAGGAGGAAGATGATAGTGGTAATGACTACCCTGAGATGGAAGAGTATGATGAGGACG